ACTCTTGGAGACCAAGCTGAGTCTGTGGGACTTCGCTGGGGACTCTCTCTACCACTGTGCCCACCACGTCTTCATGCCAGACCGGGCTCTGTATGTGATCGTCTTCAGCTTACAGGCCGCTGTCAACGACGAGAATGGCCAACTGCAGAAGCTTCTGTTCTGGTTGCATTCCGTCTGTGCGCATGCGCATCATCCAGACGCCGTCATCATGATTGTGGGCACCCACAAGGAAAGTGTCACTGAGACCAGCAGCATGCATTTCACCGATGAGCTCCATCGTCGGATTACACCTCCTTTCTGCCACCGACTCGTCGTTAATCCGCTCACCGACCGGGCGCTCTTCCTGGTGGAGAATTCGGAGCCGCTCGATCGCGATTTCCGGCAGCTGCGAGCAGAGATATTCAGACGGGTTGAGAGCGCCGAGTACGCCCGAGAGAAGTATCCCATCAAGTACCTTCACTTCTACCGCGAGATACAAAACCGACGGAAGCTGGCCGAAGAAGACCGTGCCGAAAATGTCATGACACTGACGCAGGTGCAAGCCCTGGCCACACGGACCTGCTGCTTGACGGACATAAAGGACGTGAAGAACATGCTGAAATTCTTCGGCGAGGCAGGAGAGGTCATATACAAAGATGACGACGAGGTGCTGAGACAACACGTTGTGCTGGACCCCCAGTTTTTAGTCGACGTCATGAAGAAGTTGGTGCAAATCCCTCGCGCGTGCAATCGATCTCACCGCTTCGCCGCGGAGTGGATGAACTACGAGAGTACTGGGATCATCACCGAGGGTCTACTGCTGCACATCTATGGCGACATGGCCCATCTTGTTCCTCTTGTAACCCATCTCTTCCAGGCCTACGATCTCATGTGCCTGGTCGTGCCTAGTGTCAACCCAAACTGCCCTGAGAAGTCCTTCCTTGTCCCTGCGATGCTACCTACTTATCAGGGTGACTCGGTGAAGTTCTGGGAACCGATGAGCGGTGAGGAGGTCTTCTACTTCGACTTTGGCTTCTTCGATCCCAGTACCGTCTACTACCGTCTACTAGCCCGCTGCCTGAACCACGCTTGCTGTTCTTACGAGCCGAATGCCAACAACTCCCGGCCGTTGATCTTTGCGGACCGGTGTCGTTTCCATGTTGGAACCAGTTTCATCTTCAAGTTGCAGCTGGAGAGGCGGTCCTCCCAGCAGATGCTTCTGTCGGTCACCGTCCTTGCGTTCGAGCCGAAGTACCCAAACACTAAGCTTCTCCGTCGCTTGCTGGAGGTTGTGAGGAGCATAACAGCGAGGGATTACCCGCACCTCCGATTCACCTTTGGCCCCCGCTGCCCCTTTTGTGACCCGCCACTTGTACCTTCCTCGTCAAAGATGGATGGGAAGAGATCGCTGAAGGAGCTCCCAAGGACAAACTCGACCAGGCAATTCACGTCCTGAAAATGGCCGGACATGACCAACCCTTCCCAACAACGTCACCTGTCGTGATGCTCTGTGGTCAGAGGAGGTACGAGCTGCCAGTGTCTGGATGTTCAAGCCAACCCCTGGTAATTTTTTATCAGTTGTTCAATACATTCTGAAATCGGGTAATTGATCTCCATCAGTTGGAAACTCCCACTGAATGTTTTGTGGTAATTCCATGCGCCCGTGAATTCCACACTTTCGATTGATGGGACATTTTGATATATGACCCTAAACGACTCACCAAAAGCAAACCAAACCAGACCAGTGTATTTTAAACGAATAAAGGTACGATCTAGGTCCAAATTCGTCTGAAGCCTGAGTTCAAGGGTCTAAGTGAACCCGGGTCCAAGTTCTCTGGCTCCAGGCCAAATTGGTCCAGGTCTCAGTTTGTCTGCTCCAATTTTGTCTTGTTGCGGCTACAATTGCTTCCCCGAAGCCCAATTTCCCCATCTTACTGTTGATACCTTTATCTGTTCTTCTGCCAAATCATTGGATATGGTAGTTTGTAAATAATCCAGTGCAAGTCAGTTGTCTTGCACTTCTCTTCCAGTCATCACAGAGCTACAGCCATCCTCCCCAGCGTGTGGCTTATGCCTTGGACACGCCCATCTCTAAGCTACCACCTGACATCTTCCACCGAGTCTGCGCACTTCTCAACAGCTCACTCGGAAGCAGGAACTGGAGAACGTTGGCAGGTTAGAACCACTGAGATTGACAATTAATTAGCGCATGCGCCAACTGCCGTGCACAAAGCTGTGAAGCTGCCTTGAGTCACTCTTTGGCACATCAAAGTGGCGCCTCTACGTTCAGCCAAGTTCGGTCAACGTTACTGATCCCTGTTAGATCGTTCATACAGGACACCTCATAATGGTTCGTACACAATTTTGGATCCTAAAATGGTGCCATAAGAAAACCGGAAGGGGGAGGGGAGCGGGGCATCAACATCTGACACCAAAGGGTGCTGTCAAGATGTACGAGCCTCAACACTTTCTAACATTTAATCTTCGCTGCTCAGCGACCATGTCGACAATAATTATTACAATTTGGCCGAGAAGGACAAAATGGGGAGATTTCACACACCCAACTGCTATGCCACATTGAAATTGATTTTTGAAGATTAATGTCAGAAATTAAACTTGTATTTTTTCTTCGGACAGGTGAATTGGGCAAAGACGTGGAGACCGTGGCAGCGTTGGACAGCGAGCGGGTGGCCAACCCGACCGAGTGCCTGCTCCGGGAGTGGGTGATGATGGACGGCAACGTGACGGTCGGTGCCTTGCTCGAGGTCCTCGCTAGACCGTCACTCCAACGGACTGATATCATACAGACGTTGCGTGCTCAGATGTTACCGACTTGAACATTGTACAGAAGCGATTGACGTGCGTCAGCAAGTTTAGAGGAGATAGAACCTGTGTTATGATCGAAATTATGGGGAAAACACCTTTCGCGTGTGCCATGCCGGCACGGCGCAAGACGATATTTCTTTTGCTATTTTAAGTTCTGTGCAGTTGTGTATACATGTATTATTTACTTATTTGATGAGCACAATATTTGTGTTACTTGTGTATTATAGCGCATCAAACGCACGGAAACAACAAATGACATCTATAGGAGACTGTGTATAGTGAAGGGACGATTCAGAGAGGTTAGTGCCGGGGGTGGGGTGGGGAGGTGGGCTAAATTGACTAAATTCCACTTTTTTTCCGAACTTCGATAGATGTCGTTTAGAGTCTGGTAAATTCTATTTTGGTGATAGTAATTAAAAGAACAGTCAATTTAAATACCAGCGTTTGTTTTGTTTGTTCGTCCTTCTGTTGTTCAAATGAGCAACGATATTTCGTAATTCTCTACCTTATGGAGACGTATATAATAGGGAAGAAAAGATTGTGTACGTCTGCACAGGACAATTTCGATAGGTGAACACGTCTTCACAAGGTTATCACGAAATAGGGAATTAGAGATATGGACTAGGAATTTCCAAAGAGTGGTGATTCGTCGAAAATTGAAGTATTTCATGTAAGGGGTATTACGTCCGAATTTCAGCCCAGGAAATTAATTCTGGTTAAAACAAGAGCATTTTGAAACTACATTTTCACATTCAAACATTTAAGAACATGAGAACAAAGCCTAACTCCACAAGGATACACATTCCAGTATGTGTGAGTGCAGAAAGTGAAAGTGAGAGATGATATGCAAAGTAGTGCTTTCGCAGGCTGGTTTTAATGCTGCAGAAAGCGCGAGGAATCGCAGAGCGAACTTGCGATCGCTAGCGTGCCACGGTGGAATAAATATTGTAAAAAAAGGGGGAAAGCTACATTATGAATGAAAGTGCGATTATTTCCCGATATTCGTCCCTCCCCGGAAATATTCTATGAACATTCTGTAGATCGAGCCGAAAGTTGGAAATCTAAGTTGAAATCAAGCTAAGTTGAAATCATCTGAGGATCATCAACACCCTACACCAATTTTAAACATAAGGGACGTGAGCTTTTAAGTTACATGCAAATAGTTTAAGGTGATTTATGTTAAAGGCACTTGAATAAAATAAGATAAGGAATTTCAAGGCATTCTTACTAACCCACTCATTGGATTATCGTTATTAGGAATTGTATAGCCTAGACACCAGGCGATTATAGAAATGCTCGGATGAAAATAGTAGGGTGAGTTACTGACTTTCTCCTTTTGCCGTCCCCCCGAAAAAAAATGGTTGGCACTTCTCCCGACCCCCCCCCCCCCCCCCCCCCCCACCCCCACCCCCCCCCCCCTTTCAATGTACTTTCACCCATATGGGAAGCGGGGGCCTGATGGGTTGGGTTTAGGTTTTTTTTTAGGGGGGGAAACGGCTTTTCGAATTGTCTACGGTGTGGCGACAGTCGAAAAGTTACCAAGTTTTTTTTTGGGGGGGGGGGGGGTGAGGGGGCGGTTGTAAGCACACGCAATTTTGATTTCCAGTTACCGCGCTTTTTTCGGGCTAATGCGATTTAAAGATAAAAAGGGCAGTTTGAAAATCGAAAGTGAAGATGTTTGCATAGCGCCCTCTTTTGAGCATTTGGCGCGTATAATTACAAGAGTCGTTTTATTTAGGGTTACCATGGCACCACTAACGGAAAATAAAAGAGTTCAAATAAAAGTTCAAATAAAAGTTATAAAAGGAAAGTTACGTCATTCGCTACCTATGCGTACAGATTTACAATAGCAACGTTACGCTTGAAAAAACAAGGACTCTTCCTGTTATTACTAGGTATACTACTATGCTTTAAAGTTGGTGTAGGCTATACGTGCTTTTTAGGTGTGGCACTTTCAAAAATAGATTTTCAAATTGAATTGATTATTTTCTAGCATTACGAGCTTTCTAATGAGACATTGCACGTAAAAATCGGCCCATGACAACTTATCAATAAACAGTTTTCTCAAAAGTACAAAAAAGTGAGCTGAACTTTTAATACGTTGTTTTTCCTTGAATCGACAAAAAGACTCTGTTTTTGTAAAGCTATATAAACCTGAAATCTGCAGAAAATTCATTAGGCCTACCTTTAAGTGGGTTGTTCAAATCACACTTCCTTGGTGTTGTTCTCAGCTTCGCGGAAATGTCGAGAACCTGTTGAACAAAACAAAGTTTTTCAGCATCATAAGTTTTGAAAACATTCTCTTTGAATTCACACTTCCTCTTTGGGTAATTATTTCGAAATCAGTTAAGGGTGACCTTCATACACACAGCTCATAAAAAAACAAGTAGGACTGTCCCGAATAAAACACGAACTTGCAGTAGCTAATTAAACCATGGAGCTATAGCTCCATGATTATTCGAGCGGCTTAAAGGAAATGGTACTTTTACTTCCTCTTTGCGCAACTTCCTTCTACTTGAGGTGAAAGCTGATGGAAAACACCGCTACTTTAAATAGATTCGCACGACTGTTGTTTCTGCATTTTCTTGTTGCTTGTGACATGTGATCGTGTGAAGACTGTTTATATATCTGGAGTTTCTAGACCAACCGAAGCAGTATACAGCTTGTACTAGGAAACCAGGTTCGTGTTGTGGCTAGCTAGTAGTGGTTATTGAGACTACGAGAAGAGCGCCTCGAAACTTGTCACTGCTATTTCCAGGTAAGATGATTATTGGTAGAGTTTACCTTATAAAAGATCAAACTAGAAAGTACTCAGAGAGCGCAAACCTCAGCCAAGGCTAATAATATAATATTTCCCGCCATATTGTCAGTATACACACAAAAGAAATACTTGCATCATACGGTGAAGAATCCTTAAACAAAATCCTGGATCCAGACCCAGATCTAGCCTTGACCAAGGCTATCAGCTTGTTTCCATATGAGCTTGTTCCCGCTACCGCACACCGCACGCGCAGCGACACAATGTTGTACTATACCGTTAGCCCCAACGACCCTTGCGTGTGCTTTGTGTGCATGTACATGTTGTACATGTTGTACACACACTTCCGCAAACAGCCGTATAGTAAGTCGAGGCGGAAGCGCTTCGACTTATTGTACGGCTGTTTGCGGAAGTGTGTGTGGGGCGTACGTACATGCACACAAAGCACACGCAAGGGTCGTTGAGGCTAACGGTATAGTACAACTATAGTGATTGTGTCGCGGCGCGCGCGGTGTGCGGTAGCGGGAACAAGCTCGTATGGGAACAAGCTGATAGCCTTGGTCAAGGCTAACCCAGATCCGGATCACTTCCAAAATCTAATCGATTTGTACTTGTACCAAGGACCACCCCTAAAACGTTTTTAATGCAAATCTGTCCATAACTTTTTGAGTTATCTTGTTAACAGACAAACCAACCAACAAACTAACAAAATCCGATGAAAACATAGCCTCCTTAGCGGAGGTAATACTTTTGGTAGTGGTAATGGCATTGTGGAACAGCACTTTTTATGTTACTTGCACGGACCATGCAGCAGAAACTTGATAGACTGATTGTCTTGAAACTCGGAGTATGTTCAGGGGGTTGATCCGAGTAGGGGGGGGGGGGGGGGGGTAGTGACCGGGCCAAAGGCACGCCCTGCATGCTAGGTGGTCCGGGGCACCCAACCCCCCGAATATGTTGGAATTTACTATGCTTTATCCCGCATTCTAAGGCAATTTGAGGATACATTTAGGAAAATTAGCATTATATATTTATTAGCTTTGGCACCCAGCATCATAACATTAGTCAGCGGCTGAAGCTGGGGAGGGGGATGGGGGTGGGTTGCACCCCGCCCCTAGATCTGCCACAGTAATGATCCTGATTGGTGCGGGACCTATACGAGCCGAGCAGCCGACTGCACGGGTCGTTATATTCGGAAGAACGTGTGTGTGTGTGTGGGTGCTTGACATCACGTGACATAATGATGGCGGTCTTCAACATCAGTGACTCTATAGCTGCCCCGGACTACAAAATGCACAAATGTGGACACCCCACACCCCAATGCTGCGCCCCGTGCATGATTAATGTGGTGATGGTGAATAAGTAGGTGATGACGGTGACAGCAAGTCATACACAAGTCGCTGATCCTACTTCACTAGCTAATTAAAACAAAATACAGTGATGCGATTCAGAAGAAATTAAACAATCTGACTCGAAACACAACAAAGAACGATAAAGCAGAACCGATTATGTAACCTTAAAAGATACAGAAGGGTACAGATTCACCCGTTTGCCAATTTTCGTCGACTATTTAATATTTTGTTTTAAAAAATTTTTCATGGAGGAAAGAGAGAAACATTACCCGTCGCAACTTTCATTGAAAGAAAAATTTGAACCACTCTTCTCAAAACCGAAAGTAGATTCACTTTAAACCGGGTATCTAATGTAGTCTTTTATTACAATTCTTATTACTTTGTTTTAAAGGACGCGATAGAGGAACTGCGGTAGACGAATGCTCGCGTGATAAGATGGATGGTGTCGATCGAGTTTCGCTTTTATATCTCCTGAATTGCATTTATGTAATGATTCTTTAAAGAAGGTCATTTTTTTCAAACCAGGACTGATTGTGAGGCACTATAATGGAGTTTGCATGCCTCCAACGCCTGGGTTATCGAATGCACCACGATCTCCACACTGTTTTTGCCTTGATCATTTTTTTTTGTCAGCAAAACATTTAAAGTAAAATTTAAAGGCAACTTCAAGAAAGAATTTGCCAACCAGGGGCAGAGATTTGTGTCACAAAGTGGGGGGATGATAATTTTTTGGTGCTAAAATCCCCCAAAAAGTGACCCTGAAAAACTATTTGAAAAGCGGGGGTTGGTGGGGGCGGTTAGGACTATTTGCAGATTAAGGGCGCTATTTAATAAAGGGTGTTAAAATTCTGGGGGGGGGGGGGGATGATTGTACACACCACCCACCCTCTGCCCAAAAGTGGGGGATATAGGCCCCACCCCACCCCCAGATCTTCGCCAATGTAGCCAACAGTATAGAATATGCTCTAATTCGTAGTTAATACATGAAACATATTCAAATTTCTGAAACTTGAACGCAATTATAACAACGACTACCCTTGTTTGTTTTCACTTTTAACCATGCACGCACAGGACAACAACAAAATGAATCCCGGGAAAAGAACTTTCGGATTCAGCATTGAGAAAATCTTGTCAGGGCTTTCGGATTTCGGCAGCAGGAGTCTTAACCTTAGCGTGCTGGTGAACGATCCGTCACTGAGAGAGGCGTACTTGGCAGCCCAGACCGACGGTGAGCTACCAACCAACCGAGCCCGGGTCCTGATCCTCGGCGAGCCTCGCGCCGGTAAAACCAGTCTTCTGAACCGGCTCCTGGGGAGAGAGTTCGACATCCGGGAACTGCCGACCGAGGGGATTGAGACGCGCATGTGTCACGTGACCAACGTGGATAAGAGGTGGAACGAATCGGTCGCGGCCAAGGCAGACGACATCCGGGAATGCGCATCCGCGGTGGCCATCTTCGGCGAGGCGTCCTCGGACAAAACCAAGATGAAAAACGCCAACAGTAACCCCGCCAAATCATCAGTGGCCCCGAACGCAGCCTCGGCCGTCAATCCCGGAACCAGCAGTGACCTGAACAAAATCTTCAAGTTTATGCAAATTTTTATCGTTGTTGCAGTTGTCTACATACTCGGGATGTTTCGGTACGGCTACTTCGTGTTCGTGTGGTGCACCATTGTCGCCATGGCTACGCTATTAGACTACAACAACGCCTATCGCTTTGCGACCTCGCTAACTTTCTGCTGGGTCCTCTTGGAAGCCTTGATCCGGATTGATCAGCCCCTCGAAGCACTAGCTTGTAAAACCGATTCCAAGACTCCTCACAGAGAACCCATGGATTTCGCCTCCAACATCGCCCTGGTTTCGATAGCCACAGTTCTCGTCGGTATATCTCAAGGTCTTGGGTTTCGCACGGGACTTGCCGTGGCCTTCTCTGCCTGTGCCCACCCATCTGAAACAAACTTCACACTGGGCACTGTTTCACAAAGTCTAGAAGCCTCCTGGAAGATCCTGGTGGTGTGCGTGCTATTCGGGGTGGGAGGCTTCATAGGTTTCGCCTGCTACAAGTTCTGTACGGCTGATGATCGGTGGCACAAAAAGAGAACGGCTGTCGCATGGTCTCTAATGTCACTGTTGATTGCTGCTTATTTGAAGAGCGAATGTCGCTACGCACCTTATTGGTTCATCTGTCTCAATGGGTGTTTCATGACAATCGGAGGGGCGTGGGGATCAATCGTGGGCAGGAGAGCGGTTCTGAAGTACCGCCTGAACGCTAGTTATGCCACCAAAAAGATCCTGGGGGTTCTCTTTGGTTTGTACCTTGCGTACGTGTGCGGCTGGTCGCTGAGGGTGCCAAACACCTCATTGCTGTCTATTGGGTTTTTCATTCTATCCATCACTGCACATCCGCTGTTCGATCTCCACACCGCTTACAGGATATGGCGCGCAAAGTCAGTCTTCCCGATCAAGCTCATCCGGAACCAGATGAAAGCGAAAGTCCAGGGTCAGCCACTCTTGGAGACCAAGCTGAGTCTGTGGGACTTCGCTGGGGACTCTCTCTACCACTGTGCCCACCACGTCTTCATGCCAGACCGGGCTCTGTATGTGATCGTCTTCAGCTTACAGGCCGCTGTCAACGACGAGAATGGCCAACTGCAGAAGCTTCTGTTCTGGTTGCATTCCGTCTGTGCGCATGCGCGCCATCCAGACGCCGTCATCATGATTGTGGGCACCCACAAGGAAAGTGTCACTGAGACAAGCAGCGTGCATTTCACCGATGAGCTCCATCGTCGGATTACACCTCCTTTCTGCCATCGACTCGTTGTTAATCCGCTCACCGACCGTCCGCTCTTCCTGGTGGAGAATTCGGAGCCGCTCGATCGCGATTTCCGGCAGCTGCGAGCAGAGATATTCAGACGGGTTGAGAGCGCCGAGTACGCCCGAGAGAAGTATCCCATCAAGTACCTTCACTTCTACCGCGAGATACAAAACCGACGGAAGCTGGCCGAAGAAGACCGTGCCGAAAATGTCATGACACTGACGCAGGTGCAAGCCCTGGCCACACGGACCTGCTGCTTGACGGACATAAAGGACGTGAAGAACATGCTGAAATTCTTCGGCGAGGCAGGAGAGGTCATATACAAAGATGACGACGAGGTGCTGAGACAACACGTTGTGCTGGACCCCCAGTTTTTAGTCGACGTCATGAAGAAGTTGGTGCAAATCCCTCGCGCGTGCAATCGATCCCACCGCTTCGCCGCGGAGTGGATGAACTACGAGAATACTGGGATCATCACCGAGGGTCTACTGCTGCACATTTATGGCGACATGCCCCATCTTGTTCCTCTGGTAACCCATCTCCTCCAGGCCTACGATCTCATGTGCCTGGTCGTGCCTAGTGTCAACCCAAACTGCCCTGAGAAGTCCTTCCTTGTCCCTGCGATGCTACCTCCTTATCAGGGTGACTCGGTGAAGTTCTGGGAACCAATGAGCGGCGAGGAGATCTTCTACTTCGACTTTGGCTTCTTCGATCCCAGTACCGTCTACTACCGTCTACTAGCCCGCTGCCTGAACCACGCTTGCTGTTCTTACGAGCCGAATGCCAACAACTCCCGGCCGTTGATCTTCGCGGACCGGTGTCGTTTCAATGAAGGAACCAGTTTCATCTTCAAGTTGCAGCTGGAGAGGCGGTCCTCCCAGCAGATGCTTCTGTCAGTCACCGTCCTTGCGTTCGAGCAGAAGTACCCAAACACTAAGCTTCTCCGTCGCTTGCTGGAGGTTGTGAGGAGCATAACAGCGAGGGATTACCCGCACCTCCGATTCACCTTTGGCCCTCGCTGCCCCTTTTGTGACCCGCCACTTGTACCTTCCTCGTCAAAGATCGATGAGGAAGAAATCGCTGAAGGAGCTCCCAAGGAGGACAAACTCGACCAGGCAATTCACGTCCTGAAAATGGCCGGACATGACCAACCCTTCCCAACAACGTCACCTGTCGTGATGCTCTGTGGTCAGAGGAGGTACGAGCTTCCGGTGTCTGGATGTTCAAGCCAACCCCTGGTAATTTTGTAAACAGTTTTTATCAGTTGTTCAATACATTCTGAAATCGGGTTATTGATCTCCATCAGTTGGACACTCCCACTGAGTGTTTTGTGGTAATTCCATGTGCCCGTGAATTCCACACTTTTGATAGATGGGACATTTTTATATGAAACTTATCGACTCACCAAAAGCAAACCAAACCAGACCAGTGTATTTTAAACGAATAAAGGTACGATCTAGGTCCAAATTTGTCTGAAGCCTGAGTTTAAAGGTCCAAGTTAACCAGGGTCCGAGTGCTCTGGCTCCAGGCCAAATTGGTCCAGGTCTCAGTTTGTCTGGTCCAATTTTGTCTTGTTGCGGCTAGATTTGCTTCCGCGAAGCCCTCCCTAATTTCCCCATCTTACTGTTGATACCTTCATCTGTTCTTCTGCCAAATCATTGGATATGGTAGTTTGTAAATAATCCAGTACAAGTCAGTTGTCTTGCACTTACTTCCAGTTAACACGGAGCTACAGCCATCCTCCCCAGCGTGTGGCTTATGCATTGGACACGCCCATCACTAAGCTACCACCTGACATCTTCCACCGAGTCTGCGCACTTCTCAACAGCTCACTCGGAAGCAGGAACTGGAGAACGTTGGCAGGTTAGAACCACTGAGATTGACAATTAATTAGCGCATGCGCCAACTGCCGTGCACAAAGCTGTGAAGCTGCCTTGAGTCACTTTTTGGCACATCAAAATGGCGCCTCTACGTTCAGCCAAGTTCGGTCAATGTTACTGATCCCTGTTAGATTGTTATTCAGGACACCTCACAATGATTCGAATACAATTTTGGATCCTAAAATGGTGTCATAAGAAAACCGGAAGGGGGAGGGGGAGGGGGGCATCATCATCTGACACCAAAGGGTGCTGTCAAGATGTACGAGCCTCAACACTTTCTGACGTTTGCGCTGCTCACCGACTATTAAGTCGACAATAATTAATTTCGATTTTGCCGACAAGAACGACAAAATGAGGAAATGTCACACACCCATCACCCTCTGCGATGCCACGTTGCAATTAATTTTCGAAATTAATTTCAGAACTTGTTGTTTTTTTTTTTTTTTGGACAGGTGAACTGGGCAAAGACGTGGAGACCGTGGCAGCGTTGGACAGCGAGCGGGTGGCCAACCCGACCGAGTGCCTGCTCCGGGAGTGGGTGATGATGGACGGCAACGTGACGGTCGGTGACTTGCTCGAGGTCCTCGCTAGACCGTCACTCCAGCGGACTGATATCATACAGACGTTGCGTGCTCAGATGTCACAGTCTTGAACATTGTACAAAGGGATTGACGTACGTCAGCAAGTTTAGAGGAGAAAAGGAATTGTGTTCGCATCTCAATATGGGGAAAAACACACCGTTCGCGTGTGCCACGGCGCAAGACGCTTCTTTGCTGCGCAGTTTTTTGACCAGCGCCATTTGTGTTACTGTGTATAAACGCATCCGACGGCACTACAGGAGACTATGTAAAAATTACATTTTTTTGTTACTGTCAAATCCAAATTTCAAACACGTGTTGAACAAAACATCGACTTCACGGCAACATATCAAAAGTCGAAAAAAAAATCCCCTTTGAATTCACATTTCCTCTTACACAGGGTCGTTATTTCGAAATCCGTCAATTTCAGTATGACATTAAAACATACATGTACAGCTCACAAAAAATGACTTCCCCAAGCGCACGGGAACGGGGGGGGGGGGGGGGGGGTGGGTGCTGTCCTGTGGGCGCTGCAGCACCCCCAACTTTTTGGATTGGGGTGCTGGAATATGCTTCAGCACCCCGTGTTGTTATGTGGATTATGTATATATTTTCATTATGTTAATAACGGTGTTGTGTAAAATTACTTCGTATTATATGTTGTATGCTTAAACGTTAACATAACGATTTAATATTTCTAGTGACATATAACGTTGAAATAAATGTTGAGCAATAATAATAATACTCCCAGGCAAAAATGTGTTCCAGCCAGCAGTGTTCTACGACCATGAAATTGCGTCGCTACGTTATGCATAGTACATATGCTTGCTCTACAAAATCTCCTTCGTTTTGTTCGTTTCTAGTTTTGCCGCGGCTAAGCGCGGCGCTTCGAAAGTCTAGCACAAACACTGTAAAATAGTAAGAGGAGGTATCTTCAGGCAGTGCAGAATCGATATTTCTCTCAAGGTTTCCAAAATCATGACACTATGATATTTCCGCCATGACTGAAGCTTTGACCCGAAAGCAATAACCTCGGCCGTGACAATGGTGGCAAAGTTGTTTATGCTTGCCAGGTGTTTTTTTCATTCCATCTTTCAATAGTTGCAAATGTTCATACCTTTCCCCTGAAGGTTTTCCTTTCATTAATGAGTTTCACTGACGTTGCTAGCATTCCGTACTCGACATTAACAAATGGCAAGTTGAACACACAACCCCGACCTAATAGGAGTGGGACGGGCTTTCATTGAAACTATTTCAATGCTGTTATACGCCAATTCCAGTGTAGTTTCGTTTTGATAAAAAAGCTATTCATGTTGAACCCTCTGCAAGTTTTTTCTTCATAAAAAACTAAATAGACCGATAAGTCCTTGCGTAGCCCCAAACTTGCCATCTATTAATTTGGATTTTTAAACTTCCTCATCCTAATATCCCAAATTATATTCCAAATTTTACTGTGGATTCTTATTCCCTTCCCGAATAATGTAGCCTTTCCCTTCCCACATGTCCTTTTCCCCTACCACTCACCCAATTTCTTACTGCATCTTAATGTGTTAAACGTGTAATTGTTGATTTGCTATTTTATCAATTTTGGGTTCCTTAAATTTAGCTTTATCATTTCTTAATAGTAAAATTGTAATGATTACTCTTTAGTATTTTTAAATTAATGCATTATTTATATATATTGTTACAGCTTCACACAATTCCGCTATAGGTGGCGAGAAAGCTGATTTAATAAACCATTTATGAATGAATGAATGAATGAATGAATGAATGAACGAATGAATGAATGAATGAATGAATCTACCGATCATAAACATAGAGATGCATTTGGTCTCTTAGTCTTTTATATTTGCCATTCCCTGTAACAAACAAATAACACTGCAAACATATCGAGAGCCGTCATTTGGTGAGTTAGAACTATGTGAATATTTTTATGAACAGAAATTCATCCGCTTCCAGTGAAACCAGTTGTTTTAACTTGAACTTTCGGGTTTTATTGATATACTTCAGTATATTTTATCACAGTGCATCCAGAATCCAACATTTTCCGGGTCTTAAAGCAGGCCCCTGGTCCTGTGGCCCCACGCCGTAAGGGCTCGGGAAACAAAACAAAACATACACGAAGGAATTTACTGAATGCAAGAAATTAAGCAGCCTTGCAACAATAATATTTACATGCGATGTCATGCATATAATGATACAATTCTTTTTCCAGAATTAAATGGAACCAAAAATGGAGATAGACATACAAGGTTCTCCGCTATTCAGTACAGTTAAACGTTTTGACAGCAACGGTATATTCTAAACAAAATAATGAAATAAATTGTCTTTATAATCTAAAAAAACCTTTGCTAAAAAGTCAAATTAAAGTGGCCAGGAATCGCCTCAGATTGTACCGTGCCACAGAGCATCCATATTCCAAATTAAGCCACGACGTAAGGACTTTGCGCTCCGCTTTCGCATTAATTTTGTCCGTCCTTTTAGAAATTCAAGCACCCCCTGGCAAAAGTTTTTTTTTTCCAATGGGAGTTCCCCGAAAAAAAATATGAACTTACAGTCTGTAGCTCATTATACGAGTGGCTTTGGGGATAATGGTAGTTTTACTTCCTCTTTTTACAAGTCCCTTGTAATTTAAACGATGTAGGAAAACCCCGCTACTTTTACTTTCACACGATTGTTGTTTTCGCATTATTCTCGTTGCTTATGCAATGTGACTGTGTGACGACAGCACTATTGTCTTGATGTTGTCATCATACGGCTTCACGTTTATTGCGTGAATCTGGGCAACTAAACGGTCACGGTTTAGTGTTGTAGGAAACCACTGTCTTGCGGTTTGTTCATGGTTACTGAGACTACAGGAATAGTGGCTTGAGAATTTTGGACTCTTGTACTAAAGTCATTGCTATTTCCAGGTAAGATAATAGGTATGATTTTACCTGATATAAACAGATCAGAATAATTGGGGTAAAGTGTTTGGCATTTTTGCACTATGCTACTTCCTGGTATGGACTAGGAGCAGAAACTTGAGATACTTGGTGGTCAAATCGCTTGTCAGCGGCTCCTGGTATGTTCAGGGGGTTGATCTGAAGGGGAGGGGGAGGGGTTTAGTGGATGGAGGCTTGCCGAAGGCACTCCCTGCTGGGGGGGGGGGGGGGGTTCCGGTCCAGGGGCATGTCCATGTAATGTTTACATTATTGCAATGCATTTGTATAGCCACCTTCTACTGCATGTGTTCTAGAGCAGTATATGCTTATGACCCTCAACCTGAATGGCATGTACTAAATTACACACTCTCACACGAGGTATCCATCCTGCACAATCGTGTCTCCCTTGTCCATTAATTTCGGCTCCGATATTTATCGTTCATTAGTCTTAGTCAGACATCATAGTCCCCTTCCCCGGCTTTTTTTTTAATATAAGATGTTTTCTTCTGCATTCATTTTAAGACAGTTTGAGGATAAATGTAGGAACTTTATTTAGCATTCAATTTATTTTTGTGGGTCCCCATTTTACTATAGTATTGTTGATGTACCCTAACGTGGCGCGGCCCCTAAGGGGCCATTCAGAATTTTCAATGTTTTAAAATTTCGACTTCTTTTCCAAATTATTTTGACCCACCCACCCACCCCTAATTTCGATTAATAAAAAAACTGAACATGTACATGTACATGCACTTGCATGTACATGTACTTGAACACCATGACATGTGTGTCTAGTTCAGTGACGGCGTGAAGTTGTCGGTCTTCCTCTTTTATGTGATAAAATATGTGATACCTCACCAACAAGTATCTTTTAACGAAATTCAATCAGAATATTTATCAATTTTAAAAAAATGTTTAGTTGTTGTGTTACTTGTTGGTGTCCCTGCCACACTGTACGATGGTGTAGCCGTGCGTTATGCAAGTGGATTGTTTACTTTCTTTGACGGGGACTTTACTGAATGAGTCTGGTGACTGTACATAGAAATTTCTTTGAATAAAAGTCGAATCGTTCATTCATGTGCACTTGTTATGCAAAGCAGGGGCAGTGGTTCAAGGATATCAATGTCGACTTGCAAAAAGTGTGCAAGAACGCGACTTGAATGCTTTTATGTGTTCACAATTCAACGACCCTGTTTAGATATTTCACTGTGTGACACAGTGAGAAATTTTGGAATCATAATGGCGTCAGCGATACTTGCTGGGGAGCTCTTGCGTACGACTTTCTGTACTTTGGTACTGTTGTTTCCAGGACAATTGTGTGTACGGTAAGCCGACGTACCCAGATTTTTAAAGACGAAATTGCCGACCTCAAACTTGTTAGTGCCATATTTGGCAACTATATGTGCGTTATTAGTTTAATTAAACAAATGAACAGGTTAATTAAACATAGTACCATTGAAGGTACCTAAAAGTAAACATAACAGCATAGAAGACCGACAGACGAACATAAAATGTTACAAAATAAACATATTTTGTCTGGATAATTTTTTAGGGCGTTACCGGCAAAGTTAACACAAACTTGGTGTCAAATAGAACATGGGAGTTACTTTTTTCTTTGACTTTTCATACAAGTTTACATAAACTTTAACTGTATGACCTGCAGTGGCGTAGCCACAGGGGGGGGGGGGGGGGGGGAGGGGGCGTGGGGGCGACAGCCCCCCCCCC